CCAGCCCCACGCTTACTCAGGTTGGCCATGAAGCCCACCCACCACAAGGACTCCAGCACTGCGGCTATTCGCTGCATAGTCTTCATCCAAGTATCACTATGGATGCTTCATCCAGATAGGTGGTGGCACATGCAGCTTTCGGATTGGTCCATGAGGCACTGGAAAGGGCTCCAAATAAGCCGAACGTATGACGAACTGCTACAGTCCACACGGTGTGGAGAAGACGAGGGAATCTGCCCTCGGTTTATTCCAGCATCGTGATCAAGCAGCACCTCACCCCTCCAGGAGCTCTTCGACTGCCGTACTGTGACTCCTCCTTCACGTTGAGTCCACACTGTGAAGACACATCTTCCTTCACCACAGAGACGATGGGGCTACACCACACACTGTGACTCTTCTGTTGTTGCCATCTCCAGCACAGCATCTGACTGTTTGTCTCTTATGGTCAGTGTGGTGCAACCAGGCAGGGACAGAGCAAACCTGCAAAATGCTTTTGCAGCAACATCCTGTGCCATGGTCATCACAATGGAGACACAGAGTCAGTATCGGACGACCTGCCGTCACTGCTGAGCTCAGCACAGACAAGCACAACCCTACACAAGCCCCACTGACCAGCTGAACCTGCGCTGATCTGTTTCTGTCTCTACCTGCAGCCTTAACTCTGTACTTTTAGCCCCATATTTAACTTCTACTGGTGGCGAGGCATCTACAGCCCCATGGCTCCTTACTGGAGGACTGTGTATCTCTCCTGGACCATGGGGGGGTGATGAAGGGCTGCTCTACCTCTGTACGTGGGCGTTCTCTGCAGTAGTGTCCGCCCACACTTCACCATTCCTGCCTCAAAGCTCATGCAGCTCCCAGTGAGCGGGGTGCGATGTCCGTAGCCTCTGGGACTTGCAGACTGGTTAGTTGGTGCTCTGCTGAGCTGGTTGAGTCTGGGACACGTGGCACCTCCTCAGGGCTTTGACCGGCTGACTCCCGCTCTAGCAGGGCCCCTGGCTGCGCTGACAGGTGCTCCTTGGCCAGCCTGATGTTGATGTCACGGTTCTTCAGCTGGTTGCAGCGGACGCACTCCGCCATTCCCGCTCCACGAATCGCTCCAGGAAGGCCAGGTTCAATTCCCTGGTTTCTCCATTCATGGGGCCGGGCTGTGAAGCCCTGTGACACATGTGAAGGGCTGACCCTCCAACCTCCCTGGAACCAGTGGCG